TGTGAGGCTGCGGCCTGAAAGACGAGTTTGAAATGAACAATGGTCGAGTTCACGCAACGTGACACATCGACAGTGAAACCCAGGGGCTAACCACCAAAGATACAAACAAGAAGAATGATCGAAGCATAACCAATGAGGGAATCTGAAATTTGAAGAAAAGAAACAGCATCTGACTCGCGACATTCTCGCTCAATTTTCCCACCGCAGATCATCAAGGTCCTCCTATGACAGTGCTCGCTGCTTTTCTTGCTTCTCTCGCTCCAGCTGGAAGATTTCTCTTTCGAGCTCCTTGATCAAAGCCTGACTTCGTTCCATGGAAGCTACGAGGGTGCCTCCCTCTCGCTTCCATCGAGTCAATCTTTCCACCTCGGCGTTTCGCCGCCGCACCTTGGTATCGATCTTATCGCACAGGCGGCATTTCACCTTCTCGTTGAAGGTCTCATTCACGAGTCTCATGCCGCATGTCTCGCCCGTACGATATTCGTAATTGCAACGGTGAGCGAAGGTGGTCCAACTCCAGTCACCGCATGAAAACTTCCTCTGGTTGTAGAAGCACATACCTAATTCTCGTTGTCAGCTAATGTTTTCCTAGGGTCTGGATGAAACTCACTGTCCGTTGCTGCAGCTTGCGGTTTCAAGTGTCTAGCTTGTGTTTTATTGGTCCGCTCAAAGATCCTGCCGCCGTGCAGAGATTTGATAGGCTAAGCTTGCACAAGACTCTTGAAGGTTGAAGGTTGCCCTGGAATTGAAACACCTTTAATCGACAGCGAAGTCTTATTTCGAATGGTTTTCCTTGAAGAAGCAGAGTGTGAAACGGTTATTGATTCAGAATTCGAGAAGTGGACGGCCTCCGTGGCCCTATTTATGTTTCGTCAAAAGCGTTCATGTTACAAGACGGCCAATTATCGTCCCATGCCCATCAATTGTCGATCGAATTCAGCTCAGCATCCGATGGCTTGTCGACTACGGTGTTCTATCATCACACCCACACCTCCCCATCCAGTGATTTCGCGGTTGGCTATGCTGGAATTTCCTTGACTGTGGAGACACGAAAAACCCACCCCCTTCCTGTTCGGGGCAACTGTAATCACCGGGTGATTCACAAATGCATACATCCTGCTGTCGTGTTCTCTCATCCAGCCCGTGTTGAAAATCCCTCATTCGCCATGATTGATCTCTTTTTGGCCTTTGTCCTGTTAGCTCGGATTGTTGTTGCAGCCTGAGATGCTCCGTTGATCGTCCCCGCTTCGTCTATGGCTTTCCGCTGCGTACGAACCGGAATTCAAGAATCAACCAGACCATCCGCTTGCTGGATCAAAGCTCCTGCATGAGGCAGTCGTTTTTACTTTTGTGCCAGCTGTCATGCTGTCCGTCTTACATCGAAGGTCTTTTCCTTCCCGTTGAACGGCAACCTAACGTTTTGGCATGGAGGGGATAGAAAACTACGGGTGCCGTTTGAAATGTCAATGTGATCAATGCCCCGACCACTAGTCTGGTTTGTTACATGCTCTCCCATCCATGACTTTGTGACTATCTGCTTACGATCAATTAGTTCAATCGCAAGCGATCCTGGTGGCATACATTCTGCAACGGAGTCATGCCGAGAAAGAAGCCGGATTCTAGATTGAATCCGCTTCTGGGTGCATTTTTCTTTTTCGAACCTCTAGCAAGCTGCCAGCCTGCCCAATAGGCCAGGGTTTCGTTGTCTGGCTGCAACACTAATAAGTTGCTTTTTCCAATTTGTTGGACACTGATCGATCTTTTGCAGATGAGCTAACCCTCGTGCCTGTGACCGTCTCGTATACTCCGCAGGCTTCCGTCTGGTCATCACTTACCAAGGAAATTCTCTTCGCTCCATCCATGGTGGCGAAAGACGCGTCACTGGAAGGCCTCGATTGGCACCTGGTTTGTCCTTGGACATGACCCTATAGAGTGAACATGACTTGCATTTGCATGACGAGCTCAGGTCTCTATGAGGGACCGATTCTCTTCAGCTGATCTCCCACATCTGCAGAGGAATAATCCCGCATGTGCCCCCGCTCAGGTGCAGGGTTTATCTTCAGTTACTTGCTTTGCTCCGCTGAAAACGATAGGATATCATTTGTGCTCATCAGCCATGGCAGATACCGACTGTGGTACGGTGCACCTACAGTTGAATCCATGCAGCTGCATTAGAGCTCGGAGACTCACTGACGTGGCACCCTTCGTCTGGCTCAATTGCTCGAGATTCAAGTCTGTTGTGCTGATGGAGGACTGTTCTCAACTGGAAACTGATCAGTGCAATGTTAGAAGGGCTCTGAGGCTGTCGATTTCGCTTTGACTTGCCTCCGACTCCGCGAATAGGGGTTCGATACTCCCACATCTCCGCTTGTCCGGACATCCTAGAAGATGATTGCGTGAAAGGCTCTTACTTGTCTGCCTGTAGTATTGAGCATCGAATCATCGGCTGGTGCGCTCTGGCGTCCGGTACACTGGGTGGGCGAGCATAAATCCATGGACTGATTGCCGTTGCCAACTCAGCAGCTGCCGGATTTGGCTGACCACCGCCATGATGAAATTACATCGATAACACACCGTGCATTGAATTCAGACTTTTCCTCCCACCGGATACCAGAGCGCGATTTGCCACCCATCTGCCTCTTCTCGCAGGCTGTCTTACTTCGGATGTTTCTAATCCAGCCTCGCCTGTGGCGATTGCACATTAGAAACAAGGATTCGGGGCCTACGGATTTGAGAAGATGGCCTTGCTAGGCCGGCCGATCCCCTTTCAGTACCCCAAAATCTATGGGGTGATTTTCTGGCCGCAACAGCTCGAGAAATGCCTGCTGCATACTACGATGACTTTTACATATACTTCTGACGACGTTGAAATTGGATTTTGAGACCCACCCACGCGCACCACTATGCTGGGTTCCTTCGATCCCGTGATTGTAACGTGACCGGCTTCTTCTGCGCTTCTGCGCGTACCTTTTTCTCTTGCAGTCAACAAATGGAACCTGCGAAACAGGCATTGGGGGGATTAAAGTGAGAACGCACTCTTTGCTGTTCCGAGCGCACGAGCCGAGATTGGTCCATTTTCGAAAGGCTATTAAATAGCGTCAGCGCTTCATATCCAATGAAGTTCACCAGCTGACAGGCTGCTCGGGAAGTGCATGCAAGCTAAGAAGACCCCTGTCGTGATGTCTGGAGCCCATGAGAAACACGCATTAAGAAAGCTAGTATGGATGAATTCCGGGTCCTCGCATCTGCAAGTTGGCACCTGAAGTTGTTTTCCTGCGGATGTTGGGCTTGGGCTACGAAAAGTGCGTCCTGCATAGTCTAGACCCCTGCTCCTGGCATAAACCTTGCCCTCCTCTCGGGGTCGAACGGCGAATAAAGGATGTCTGGGTCATTCTACGATTGCACTTTCCTCTTCGAGTCAAGACATTCGCAAGTCACAGCATGATCGATAGACCCGGCCCTAGAATGCATTGTGCTTCAGTCCAATTGTGGACCAGCTGGGCATTTAGTCGGTTCTCATTCTACGCAAGGCTTGCGTGAAGGTGTCGGTCCCAGCGGAGAAAGCCGCATCGAGGGTGATATCAAATTCTGGTACCGAAATGCACGAGGACTGTGCCTATCACCCTTCAACAGTCGCCCGAGGATCATTTCAGGTGTGTGATAATTGACGTGGCATGTCGGGCAGGCTTTGTGGACGGGCCTAGAGAAAGCATTTCTACCATCCGGCAGATATGTTTCTTTCTTAGCGGCTACCCTCAGAGTGCTATGCCAATCTCTCGGCAGACTCTATTCGAGCCGGCTTTTAGTATGACAGCAAGCAGTAGATACTATTTTTGCGTAGTCCTCGTGTACGTCAATTCGGTATTGTCAGTAACAAGCGAGTCGTAAAGCTGCCGTGAATTGGGCCAAATGCACTTGATGTCGTTCGCAAATGATCATTTGATGAATAGTAATGTTCTCAAGTAAATACCCAAGTAAAAGCGGATGATCAATTCCTGGGTTGAACACAATAGACATGCATTGCTTGCGATGGCACAATGCCCGGCATATTCACATCACGTGGTAGCCATGTCTTCTGCAGTGCCGATGACGTCAACATGATGGGTGCGAGCGGCGGGCATTCATTCCACCTTCCATTTCCCTTTCTCCCTCCCCAGATCGATCTTGTTCTTCCATCATACATTTCCAATCCCATTTACTACTGCTGAAGTCCTCATTCATCTGTAAGTTTCTCCAATCTCTCTAAGATACGAGCCGCATTGACTAAACGACTAAGACACCCATACCTCGCGCTTCCAGTACTATAAAACCATACATACTACATCGTTCGACATACCTCAATTGCTCCATTACTCCTCTCCCAAGTCCTGCAGGCAAACCAAAAAATCATCAAGCATCATCAACCATGTTCAAACAAATCACATCCATCAGCCGGAGCGCTCTCCGCCAGAGCAGCAGCATCCACCATCTTCGGCAAACCCCCGCCGCCGCAACCGCAACCGTGAACCAGAACACGCAACGACCCTTCCACTTCATCCCCGCGCTCCGCACGTCTCAAGGCCAGCGCGAAGAGATGGAGTCCGGCGACCGAAACGTGCTGGACCCGCAGCCCTCCGAGTTCTCCAAGACCGGCACCGACCAGGAAGTCTCGCAGCACGATGCGGCCTTCGACCCCTCCAAGACCTCACCGGAGAGCCAGATCGAGGCGACGCAGGAGGAGACCAACCAGAGCGGCAAAGTGAGCAACCCGTTGAACGTCAGTGGCGCGAACAAGGGCGTCAGCGAGGGGCGGGATCCTACGGAGGGGGCCCCGGAACGGAATGCGGATCGGGAGGCGTCGAGCAAGCGGGGCCAGACGAAGAAGGGGAAGGAGGTGAACGATTGGAATAAGAAGTATTGATACGGAGTGGATTTCTGTGATACATACGTACTTTGTTCAATAGAAGCCTGATATAATTTGCCAATGATCGCATCGTTCTACTTTTTAAGGCAGTATGTGATAGCGATAGTCGTATTAAGAGATATATGGTTGACTTCAAACTCCTATCCCAGTCCAGTCCAGTCCGTCAATCACAATTTCGGTTCCCGTAAAAATACACAAATTAGTAATGCACCAACTCCGGAAAGCCAACTAGTGCAGTGCTATCAAGCCGTTCAAAGATTGTTTCCGTCCTTCTACTCCTTACCCAACTGAAGGATCTCGCTGCCATGCAGCGTCCAGACCTTCTCACTACCGGTAGGGACATTGCCCTCCAGCGCCTTCAACCCGGCATTGACCGCGGCCCGGCCGATGACATCGGCATCCTGCGCCCATCCGTCCTTCAGGCTGGAGTGGACCTTGCCCAGGAGACCCGCGAACCCACGCACCACCGCCTCCGCGGGGCGACTCTCCTCGCGCTGCCCGCCGATCAGCCCGGGCCGCAGGATGACGGTCCGCTCGAAGCCCAGCGCCTTGACATCCTCCTCGATCTCGCCCTTCATCCGCGGGTAGGCGAAGAACGAGCCCTTGTCGGCGCCCGACGAGGAGATCAGCACGTACACCTTGACGCCGGCGTCGCGCGCCGCGCGCGCCGTCTCGACGTTTAGACCGTGCTCGATCTTGTACTGGTTGTCGAACCCGCCGGCGGCGGCGCGGGTGGTGCCGAAGGCGGAGATGTAGATGCTGGGGGTCGGGGTCAGCGACGCGAGCTGTTCGGCCCACTTGGAGGTGTCGTCGGAGACGAAGGTGGTGAGCTTCTCCTGCGGCGCGGCCGTGGCAGGTTGCGGCGTGCGGCGGGAGATTGTGTCCACGCGGGCGATAGAGGGGTTCTTGAGCAGGCTGGTGAGAATGCAGCTCCCCTGGGAAGATTTGTGGTTAGTATATTCTTGAGTAGAGTCTTTCTCGGAACCTCCCATATACATCGCGATAGTCTAGAGCAGGGATGTCATCAAGGGAGAACAGCACGGGCCTTGGCGTGAGCCTAAAAAGAGCTTGTTTGCTCAGGACGTACCACCATGCCAGTAGAACCGAGTAGAGCGACGTTAGCCATTATGCTGATTGTATGTAGTGAAGTACGGATGTGATCAGTGGACGGATATAGTAAATTGGGGGATTCAATCTCCTGCAGTGCGGCTTGAAAGGAAATGCGCGGATGACGTTTATTGGGGAGATCAGCGGGTCCATTACAAACCTACTCAGCACAAACTCACAGTTCGTGCCTCAGGCAGAAGGACCGACCCTTCACGTGCTCACTGCCCAGGCCCCCATGGTTCCTTGCATTAGTAATGCGGGGAAGTCGGCCGAAAGCGGAGAGATTCTGCCCTCAGATCCCGCCTCCGACCCTCCAATTTTTTATCGATAAGAAATTGCGTGATTGCCACTAGCCGGATAAGGCATGATCCCCTGGGCTTTTCTATACGGCGGCGACGGGCTTTTTATCCCCCTCCCCCTCATTGCCCTCGTCTTTCCTCCACTTATTCTCTCTTTCTCTCTCTCTCTCTCTCTCTCTTGTCTTCACCCTAAGTGTTATCGGTTGTGTGACACCGGTATCTAGGCAAGATTTCCTCACAATGGGTGCTTCTTCCCCAGCCTTGTCCGCCCTCAGCGGCCCTACCTATGTGACCGCCCAGACCCTCATTCAGCAGGTCGCATACCTCCTCAGTGATAAGATCTTCTCTTACTCTCCTGAGTCATTCGATCTGGATGCTGCTCTCCGCCAGTGGGCTTCCAGCCAGGAGACCAATGCCAATGGCGAATCCCCCGAGATCAAGGCTATGGAGACTCGCCAGGGTGCCGGTAACATCGCTCTCGGTTACATCTTCTCTCAAGACTTCGACCTGAAGAAGCGCCACGTCCCTCAGGGTATCGTTGCCTCTTCGGCTACCCTCCCATACATGCGTGCGGCTTTGGAGCAACTCTCGCTGCTCTACTCTGTGGCTAGCCCTGTTGCTGCCCATGTTGCTGCTGTCGACTATGCCGCCGAAGACGGCCTGGTCTCCGACTATGCCACTGCCCTCGCCCTCGCCGAGGAGCTTGGACTGGGTCTGGTTTCCAGTGCCTCTGCCCACGAATCGCAGCACATGGCCCTCCTGACCACTCTGCTCGCCTCTGTCCTGCCTTCCGTTCACATCTATGATGGTGTGCGCGTTGGCCGGGAGCACACTCGTGTCATCGACATCCTCGATCAAGCCGGCCTTGCTCGCACGTACGAATCTGTCCGTAAGACTCTGGAGGATTCTCGCAGCCGCCACCTCGACAACCAGGGCAAGCTTCTGGAGCTTCTTCAGTCTTTGAACGGTGAGCTCGGAACCGATTACGGTCTCTTCGAGTACCATGGCCATGCCGAACCCGTTTCTGTTCTGGTTGCCTTTGGTACCGTCGAGGCATCCCTCACTGCCCAGATCGCCCGCTCTCTCGCCAAGGACGGTGTTCGTGTGGGTGTGGTAAATGTCCGTGTCTACCGTCCCTTCGTGGAAGAAGAGTTCCTGCGCGTGCTGCCCAAGTCTGTCAAGACTGTCGGTGTTCTGGGACAAGTTGCCAACGAGCAGGCCGTCCAAGAACAGGGCGTTCGTTCCGCCCTCTATGAGGACGTTCTTGCTGCCCTTACTTTTGCTACCGACCGTGAGCAGGCCCCGACCACCGTGGACATCAAGTACCCCCGCTCTCAGCGTTGGGATCTGATCAACACCGCCGCCGCTTTCCAGCTTATTCACGAGAAGCCTATCGTCCAGGCTGGCGCCGAGACTGAGCCCCTCCAGCTTTTGGACCCGTCTGCTGTCCAGGAATACTCTTTCTGGGACACTGACAACTCCGTTGGCGGTGATATCGCAACTGTTCTCTCCCAGGCTTTGGCTGCCGACTCCGCCAGCAATGTCACTACCAGCAAGGCTCATGACAACCTGATTCAAGGAGGAATTGTCCGCGTCGATATCCGCAAGAGCTCCAAGATTCTGGATGCTCCTTACTCCGTCACTGCCGCCGACACCACCTTCGTCGGAGACCTCAAGCTTTTGGGAGACATTGATGTTGTCGCTTCTGTCAAGGCTGGCGGCAAGATCATTGTCAACGCCCCTGGCGTGAAGGACGATGAGCTGGAAAAGAAGCTGCCTGTGGCCTTCAGACAGTCCATCGCCGAGCGCGGAATCTCCCTCTACTTCGTTGACCCCTCCGCTGCCGGAGAGTCTGTCCCCGAGTCTTCTGTCATTCAGGTCGCCTTTTTGCGTGTGGCTCTGCCCACCCAAGAGTCGGTTGGCATCAAGAAGCTGGCCTCGATTGTGGGCAATGCTGATGCTTTGGAGAGTGTCAGCAAGGACCTCGAGAAGGTCCTTCGCCAGATCGAAGTCCCTGAGTCCTGGAAGACCCCTGAGGAGGGAGCCCAGATTCCTCAGTTGCCCAAGGACATCTCCCCCAACAGCTTTGTTGCCTTCGACAAGGAAGAGAGTGAGCCTGCCTCCTACCTCAAGGACTGGGAGGCCGCCGCCAAGGGCTTGGCTTTCAAGGAGGCCTATGATACTAAGACTGCTCTCCGTCCTGACCTTGCTACCAAGACCTTCACGGTTCATGTCAAGGAGAACAGACGCTTGACCCCTGTCACCTATGATCGTAACATCTTCCACATTGAGTTCGACCTTGGCGACTCTGGACTCAAGTATGACATCGGCGAGGCACTGGGTGTCCACGCTGAGAACGACGCCAACGAGGTTCTCGAGTTCATCAAATTCTATGGCCTCAACGCCGATGACATTGTCGAAGTGCCCAGCCGTGAGGACCCCGCGGTTCTGGAGAACCGCACTGTTTACCAGGCGCTGGTTCAGAACATCGACATCTTCGGTCGCCCTCCCAAGCGCTTCTACGAAGCCCTTGCCGAGTTCGCCGATGACGAGAAGGAGAAGACCGATCTCCGCACCCTCGGTGGCCCCGAAGGTGCCGTGGAGTTCAAGCGCCGTGCTGAGGTCGACACTGTCAGCTTCGCTGACATCCTTCTGGAATACCCCTCTGCCCACCCTGACTTCCACGACCTGATCCGCATCGTCGGCCCCATGAAGCGTCGTGAGTACTCCATCGCCTCGTGCCAGAAGGTCACCCCCACCACTGTGGCTCTCATGATCGTCGCCGTTACCTGGACCGATCCCCGCGGCCGTGACCGCTTCGGCCAGGCGACCCGTTACCTGAGCCGCCTGCAACCGGGCACCCCCATTACCGTCAGCGTCAAGTCCAGCGTGATGAAGCTGCCTCCCAAGTCCACCCAGCCTTTGATCATGGCTGGTCTGGGAACCGGTCTGGCGCCCTTCCGTGCTTTTGTCCAGCACCGGGCCCTCGAGAAGGCCCAGGGCAAGGAGATTGGCGCTGTCTTGCTGTACATGGGCTCTCGTCACCAGCGCGAGGAGTACTGCTACGGCGAGGAGTGGGAGGCCTACCAGGAGGCCGGGGTCATCACCGTCCTCGGCCGCGCCTTCTCCCGTGACCAGCCCGAGAAGATCTACATCCAGGACCGCATGCGCCAGACGCTGCCCGAGATCGTCCAGGCTTACATCCGCGAGGAGGGTGCATTCTACCTCTGCGGCCCCACCTGGCCCGTGCCCGACGTCACCGCCGTCCTCGAGGAAGCCATCGCCATCGAGGCCAAGGCCCAGGGCAAGAAGGTCGAGCCCCACAAGGAGATCGAGAAGCTCAAGGACGAGGAGAGATACGTCCTGGAGGTGTACTAGAGTTGACGATGGGGTGTTCGTTGGTTTGGAGGAGGATGATGAAATGGATGAAACGCTTTCTGTATATTTTGAAAAGCACGAGGGTCGGCACCACTGCAGGTGAGCTGGCCTTCCTGTTTGAGTTTAGCGCTGTTTCGCATCTAGAACATCCGACAGGATTTCACTTGGATAGACTTGTCAAATCATTCAGTTCAGTGTTCAATTATGTTCATTCGAGTAGAGTCGAATTGCCATAACCCACCAAAACATGCTAGTGATGGTCTTGCCTTAGATCCAGGCAATGGCGGGTACAGTACGTGGCAGACCCATATGCTTCAGTAACAAGCCAATTGCACTCGAATTAAGATCCTCTACAAGCCCGACATATAATCACTCACTACGGTTTGCGTAGCCCGCTACGGAAGCCGAGTTAGCGATCCAGCATTTGGCGCCGCAAGTGACGGTCTTAGGCGCTTCCACTGCGGTGCCCGCCCTTTGGCCACGCCTGGCTTTCTCCTGCTGCTCGAGAGAGGCGGGATCTTGATGCAAATTAGTCTATTCTCTTTCTCACGACGCCCAATTCTAGGAGCCTGGTACCCGATACATCCTACGATCATCGCCTTGAGTGACCTGTCGACCGGACGGTGGTGGACAATCTCCGCCAGAGCGGCGACCAGCCGTTCCGTACTATGTGCGTCCGGTCCCTCGACGATGAGGAAACATTGGTCCACCCGGGCGAGAGTGGTGAGCAGCCGCTCCAAGAGTTTCTGCTCGCGGTGCTGATGGTGGTGGTGGTGGCGGTGGACCTCAGGGTCGTTGCTGTCGGGTGCCCTGTCGATGGGCTCAGGAATGTCCCCTACTGCTGTGGCGGATAGACATTGACTAAGTAGGGATTCCAGTATATCGATATTGCGGCTGCTTTGCGAGCGGAAGGGCGAGGATGAGAAACCATAAAGTACAGTGTACTGGCTAGTTGTCGACCGCAGGAAGTCTACCATCTCAACCGCCAGATCCACCGCGCGGGGGTGCGCTGCGGCGCATGCTGCCTCGCAGACGAGGAGGGATGAACCTGATGCAGATCCGATCCAGTCTTGCAGGGAATAAAGAACTGGAAGGGCGTCGCTAGGCCACGGGTTCCAGAATTGGCGTCGCCTGGCCAGAATACAGCGCTCGGTGAGACGCTCTGATTCAACTGGGATGCTTGGTCTCGGTTGTTCAATGGTTGTTGGAACTGGGTTCTGTACCGACAGATGATGGCTGTTCGGTGCGTCCGCTGTAGAAGCGGGTATCGACGGTGGCCTCTCCGTGTCCGAGTAGTAATCTTGTTCCGCATGATCGTTGGACGAGGTCTCCGGTGAATATTTAGCACTGGTACTAAGACGCCTGACGTAGGATAAGAGAACCTTGGCATATGCCGCCGCCGTTGCAGCGGCGTACTCTTGCCACGCTTTGTTCTTGTGAGCATCTGCGTAGTCGCAGATGCCACGGATGACCAAGCACGGCATTGTGTTCATCACCCCGGCCGCTTCCATCTCCAAGCAGAGAATCCGGTGCCGAGATCCCAACTGGTCCCGTACTGTTGAGCTCTTCACTACCTGGTTCCCCGATGCGATCACACCATAGAATATTCGGGGGTAGTCAAGGTTGCGCTCCGGCCGGTCTACCAGTGGACAGGCGCATCCGTTCAGCCCATCATTACTGGATATGCTGTGCAAGGCGTCCGACTGGTGCAATGAATCATTCTCTGAGCCGGGACTCCGGTAGGAAGGATTCCGCGCTGCGATCTGGTGCAGAAAATCTTGGAGAAAATCCGGAGCGAGATCAGGATCGGATGTGAGATTACTGATTGCCTTCATTAGGACACGCGGGGGTCGTGTCAAAACCCCCACGGCTTGAAAGGAGCCACCCTCCATGACTTTTCCCAGATCATATTGGACTACCCCGGAGTGTGTCTCGGTCGGCTGACTGACCACCACATCTCCAAGGCGAACGTCGTGGGTTCTCGAGGGGACCCCGCCTCCAATTCCTACCAGCAGACAGAATCGGAGGGCAGGGAAGCTGCGGTGCATGTTCGACGCAACGTCGGCTGCGGAATTCGTACCATACTCGCCTTGTGGGAGGCAAGCGGCGACAACATCATGGTGCCCGACCCTGCCGAAGACATAGCTATTGGTGTCATTAGGATCAAGGTGAACTGGGGGGTCCTTGTATCGGGAGTCGAAAAGCGCTCGTATAGCGTAGAGCTCCTTCGGCAGCGCAGAAACCAGACCAACGGTGTATGTATGATGGTACATTGCCGCTTGTGTAGGATCTTATTGACCATGGGAGACAATACCCCGCTTGTTGTACAAACCGCTGATCGCTCCGTGGTCAGCTGATTGACCAGCAGGGGTCCTCCCTCCTGCAGGTAAGACGGTGCTCAAATGGTTCGAGAGAAGCACCCTCTCGAAACGCAGACTGAAGAGCTTCAAGCACTCGTTGAATAAAGATTCAAGGGCTTGAGCCCATGTCAATCATCACTCTACCTTCCCTCAAAGAGCCACCAGCCTAGATTCTTCAGAAGCAGAGAAACCAGGTCTGATTGACTACACTCTCCAGGAACCGGACTTTGATCAGGTGTGAGCGCCGTGTGTCAGCTTGAAGGAACGATGAAGCGTGTCTCACAGGCAAACAGGGGAATGGTAGTCCAGTCAGAGTGTAGTAGCTCACCTGAGCACGAATTGGCTGAGGAAACACCGATGAGACCGAAAGTAAGGTTCCAGACCGACAAGTATGAATTCCAAGAAGAGATTCCAGGGAATCCTAGGCGAGCCACCGTCAAGCGACAAGCCCACGCACTCGAATCAAATCACGAACTAGAGATACTACCGAAGCGGCGAGACTGTAAAGCAGACTCGGCGCGCATGCCTACCAGCACCCAGTCTGCTGGATGGAATGTGGATAGCGCAGCCGTCAATCAACGGATATCAGAGCTAAAATCGGAGATTGCAGCCTTGGAAGCACTAAAACGACGACAAGTCCCTCAAGAATGGCGCGTGATTCACCGTGTACATCGTCTCAAGAAAGATGCTGGATCCTCCAACACGATATTTGAGGTTTTCCATTACCTGGACCAACCCAGATGGTATGGTGGCATACCGTACCACGAGCCACTGGCTGGTACCGAGCCCATTCTAGATATGGGAGCATACATCGAGCGACATTCGGAGCTCTCCTTCGTGGTCTTCCGAGATTACGGCAAGGATAGACCTGACGGAAATCACTTCTCGACAGTGGGTCAAACCAATCCGTACCCGTCGGATGACGGATATCCATTACCATGTATGGAGTCGACAATTTTCGTCTATCCCAAACTTGTAGAAGCCATGAATCGATTCTTGCGATCATTACCGCCGAACAACGGGATCCCACTGCGGCTGGAGAAGTCATGGGATCAGGAGCTGCAGGCTCCTTACCTGGCGATATACCATCACTGGGAGAAGTTTATCTCCATGAAGAACTCGCTTCCCGAGCGCGTACAGGGGCCGTGGAACATGTTTGTGCGGTATGTGCAAGAAGGCTTTCATCCAGAACATGCGCAAGTACGGGCCCAGTTTGAGCAAGGCTTGGTGTGTGCGCGATTCCTCAAGTACTTGATCAAACCAGGGGACATCCTCTATATCCCACGTCACAAATTGGTGGAGGCAGTCCAAGCCGAATCTTCGCTGTACGGCGCGGAGAGTTACCCAGAGAGAAATATTCTTCTAGCGCAGGAAATTGCGGTTAAGGTGAGAAATGGCACGCTGAACTCGAACCAGCAGCGACAATGTCTTCAGCTATCGTGGTCCATAGAGGTTGCATTTTGGTCATTCCAGATCTCGTTTCGCCGGCAGCGGCAAGTTCAACGACTCAATCTTGCCCCCGATGTTGAGGAAGCATTCCCTATAAATTCATTGAATTTTTATCCTCTCCAGTTTGCAGGCTCGAGTGTCGAGCAGAGACTCCGCGAGCGGGGAGTCTCGTTTTGGAAATGTCGGCAGCGACGATATGTGGAGTACGGCAAAGATGCCGGTCTTCATGCATGGAGCAGCATCAAGTCGAGGTACATGATTGATCCAGTCACCTACCAGCGAATGCATGGGACTCAAGTGGCCGGAGAGACGTCCATGGCATATGCCGATCTACCCGACCACATCCTTTCCCAGGAGCAATGCCCCGAGCACCCTTTTCCTCTGCTGCTGCCCCGTGTCGTCCAAGGGTACAACCTGATAGAGAAAGTCTGGATCGATCTCGAGGTCGAACACATCAGTGACGTGCGGTGGAACACTCAGGCGTTCGAGAATCTGGTCACCGAGGAGCAGACGAAGGATCTCCTCGAGGCCCTTGTGAGGAACCAGCTGAGCATCGAGACAAGCACGGACCTGATATCCGGCAAGGGCAACGGGCTGATCATCCTTCTCCACGGCGGACCGGGCACGGGGAAGACCTACACTGCGGAGAGTGTGGCCGATTATGCGCGGAAGCCCCTCTACCGGGTTACCTGCGGCGACATTGGCACGCGGCCGGCCGACGTGGAAAAGTACCTGGAGACGGTGCTGCGGCTGGGCCGCATCTGGGGCTGCGTAGTTCTCCTGGACGAGGCCGACATATTCCTCGAGGAGCGGACGTTGGCCGACCTCGAGCGCAACGCCCTTGTTTCCGTCTTCCTCCGCGTCCTCGAATACTACAACGGCATCCTGATCCTGACCTCCAACCGAGTCGGCCACTTTGACGAAGCATTCCGCTCGCGCATTCAGCTAGCCCTCCATTACGAGAGTCTGGGGCCTGATCAACGCCATCAGATCTGGTCCAACTTTATCAAACACCTGCGCGCGTCAGAGGCCTGCAGCATGGACTTCGACGACCTGGTTCTGCACATCAATGACTTGAGCATGTACGAGATGAATGGGCGACAGATCCGTAATGCGATCACAACCGCTCGGCAGCTCGCAGAGTTCAAGAACAAGAGATTGAATTATGAGATCATAAAGAAGGTGATCACGGTGACTGGACGATTCGACCGGTACCTTCAGGGAGTTAAACAGTTGGAGTCTGTGAAGGAAGGGACTGTGGATGACACACTGGCGAGAGAAGCGGGTACGAGGTGAGGCATGGAATGACACTCGGATGACTAATTGAAGCAATCAAACAAAAGCCAACTCCCATCTTTTGTAGATCTATGGGGTATATCTGCTATATTCTTTTGAGGTCCTCATATCGTCCTCGAACGACAGACCACACACGCGCACCAAAGGAAAGATATCTAGCCTCCCGGACATAAACAGCTCTGAACACGGAACAGGTCGTGACATAGTATCATATACACAAAAATCAGCCCAAGTACTCCAACCCCACGTGAATAATTATCCTACCTAAGGCGACATTCTTCAAGCCCGACCCATGGCCCCCAACTTTGTCTTCCCGTAGGCTCCACCCTTCTCCTTCCTCAGCTCCAGCGCCCGCCGGTACGGCGGCGCCGTAGGCGGCTGCACGGGGTCGAGACTAACGTGATCCGGTGGTAGGGCATACGAAGCATCCGAGTCCCACGCAGAGAGATCGCCACAGGCGATAAAACGCGGAATCCAGCGGTTCTCGACGGAGAACTTCTCGGCGAGGGGCTTATACGCCAACGGTTCGGGGACAGCGGAAGCCAGCGACTCCGGGTGGAGCAGGCGCGCGGTGTCGGTGTCATTGTCGTTGTTGAGCGTCGTGTTGACTGGGGCCGGATGGTTCACCTGCACGGGCGCCGCCGCCCCGGGCGTCTCATCCGTCACCTCAACGGCCACGTTGTTGCCCGCTGCTGCAGAGGCAGGAGCCGTCACGGCGACACCGCCGAAGACCGGGTTCTTGAGCGCCTCCATGCCCTTCAGTCCGTCGTGGATGGACGGCGGGATGAAGCCCTCGCAGACCACAAAGGCCTCCAGACTGCTGGCGCGGCTGCTCCGCGGCTTGGCGACGCTGACCTTCTCGAAGACGGTGCGCAGCTGCGCGTACAGGAGGTCCACGTCGCGGCCGCGGAAGATCTTGGCGACGAACTTGCCGCCGGGGCGGAGGACGCCCAGGGCGAGGTTGAGCGCGGAGTAGAGGAGTTGCGATTGGATGTAGATGTCTAGGTCGTGGAGGCCGGTCACGTCGGGGGCGCCGTCGGAGATGACCAGGTCGACGGGGTGCGGAGGACGGACGGCGGTCGGCGTAGGGGTGGTGGAGGGGGATGAGTTATCAGCGCTGGTGGTAGTGGTGGATTCGTAGGCTTCGGGGTCCAGGGCTCGCAGGAGAAGAGGAATGGTGGAGGGGTGGGTGATGTCGGCTTTTAGGGTCGTGATGCCCTCCAGGGGGGCCATGGGCTGCAGATCGATGGAGACGATCTTGACGTTCTTCCGCGGCTTCAGCTCTTCCTCCGTTGTCGTCTCATCCTCGTTCGCTGATTGTGGTGACTCGTTGTTGCTGCTTCCATCGCTCTGCACCCGTTCGAGGGCCTCCTTCTCCCGGCGCTTTTTCTCAACCCAGGCGCGGCGCCCGAAACTCTCGCCCTTGATCAACACGCGACTCAGGACCTGACTCCAACTGCCGGGGGCGGCGCACAGATCGACGACGCGGGTCACCTTCTCCGGGTTCTCGTGCTCGAATAGGTCGAATTGCTCATCAATCTGGATCAGCTTGAAGGCGGAGCGGGCGCGCCAATTCTGCTCCTTGGCCAGGCGGTAGTAGGCATCGCGCTTGTCCTTGGAGGATTTACCCATACTGATTCAGACCGTGTACAATGCAATTGAAGTAAAAGGTTGGGGGAAGTGCGAGTCAGATTCCAGGCAATGGAGGGGGAAATGGGCGGAATTTCTTTCGGTCTTGCGTGTGGGGCGGCGATAAGATTCCCAAGGCGGCCATTTTCTGCCGCTTTTTTTTCTTTCCCGCAGGTTTCGCAGGCCAGGCCCGCTCCCCTGCCTATCTTTCTTCCATCAGCTTGTTCTTGTCATTCACTTGTCGCGGAGGTGATCGTTCGTCTGAAAAGTTCCAGTCGCTGTGTGTCATCATGGGTCAAAAACGGCAGCGCGATGCCAAGGGCGCAGATGTCCAGACGAAGAAGCAGAAGAAGAGCGCCAATGCGGACGTTGTTACTGTGAACGATCTCAACTGGAAGGAAGTTGCGCTGCCCGATCGTATGGAGGATGCAGGAGGCTTCTTCGGACTAGAGGAGATTGACGGCGTGGACGTTATCAAGGCAAGCGGTGAAATTAGGTTCAAGGTATGACTTCGAGCTGGTATTCAGCTGCAGACAGTGAAATTGACGTTCGCAGGCCGCCGCTGGCAAACCGCCAAAGTCGATTCTGAAAAAGAAGACCGCGGAAGAGCAAGAGGAAGAAGCAAAATTCGACGACGAATGGGCTGGAATCAGCGACAACGAGACCTCGGAGAAGGAGAAGACGGAAGCACCAACCACGGAAGAACAAAATGAAGAGCAGGATGAGGCTATCAAGTCCCCTGTGACGGACAAGCAGCAAGAAGCCAAAGATAAAAGGAAAGAGAAGAGGGATAAGAAGCGGCAGGAAGCCAAGGAAGCAAGGAAACAGAAAGCCGATCAGAGCAAGAAGGGAACCCCGAATCAGGAGGACAAGAGCATCAAGTCTGGTCTTTCTTTCGCCGCTCTCGAGGACGAGGAAGAGGATAACGGCGTGGATATTTCCGAGTGGGAGTCACTGGGACTCTCTCCGGAAGTGCTCACCGGTCTTTCGAAACTGAAGTTCTCTACGCCCACTCTGGTCCAGAAGTCTTGTATTCCTCCCATCCTCGACGGCCATGACGTGGTAGGAAAGGCATCAACAGGTTCCGGAAAGACCCTGGCCTTCGGTATCCCGATCCTGGAACACTATTTGGAGATCAAGCGCACGCAACTGCGCAATGTTACCCAGAAGAAGAAGGAAGACACGGAACCCATCGCCCTGATTCTCTCGCCCACTCGCGAACTCGCACATCAGTTGGCCAAGCATATTGGTGACTTGATCCAGCAGTCGCCAGGCGCCAATGCACGCATCGCCCTTCTCACGGGAGGTTTGTCCTTACAGAAACAGCAGCGCTTGTTGGCTAGTGCGGATATTGTGGTCGGAACGCCGGGTCGAGTTTGGGAGGTTATGAGCACGGGCCAGGGTGTGATCCGCAAGATGCAGGGTATCAAATTCCTTGTCATCGATGAGGCTGATAGATTGCTCAGCGAAGGCCACTTCAAGGAAGCAAACGAGATCATTACTACCCTTGATCGCATAGTGGATGGAGACTTCCAGTACGAAGAGAAGGAAGCGACCGAGGAGGAGGAGAAGAAGAACGAGAGGCAGACCCTGGTCTTCTCTGCTACTTTCCATCGGGACTTGCAGCAGAAGCTTGCCGGCAAGGGACGCTGGACGAGCGGTGATATCATGGACAAGAAGGAGTCGATGGAGTATCTTTTGCAGAAGCTGAACTTCCGAGAAGAGAAGCCCAAGTTTATTGATGTCAACCCTGTCTCGCAGATGGCCGAGGGACTGAAGGAAGGCATTGTCGAATGTGCAGCGATGGAAAAGGTAAGCCTACAGTCATACTACCGTCAAATAATCACCCTCGCTGACCAAATGACCCCAGGACCTCTTCCTTTACACGCTACTTCTCTACCATCCCAAGCACCGCACCCTTGTCTTCACTAACTCCATCTCGGCCGTTCGTCGTCTCACACAGTTCCTCCAAAACCTCCAACTCCCCGCGCTGGCCCTCCACTCCTCGATGGCGCAGAAGGCCCGTCTGCGCTCCGTGGAACGCTTTTCATCCCCCACCTCCGACCCCGGTTCGATCCTCGTTGCCACCGACGTGGCGGCGCGTGGTCTCGACATCAAGGGCATCGACTTCGTCATCCACTATCATGCGCCCCGTACCGCCGACACCTACGTGCACCGATCCGGTCGTACGGCCCGTGCCGGTGCCTCGGGCAAGAGCGTGCTCATCTGCTCCCCCGAGGAAATGCAGGGCGTCATCCGCCTGGCGGCCAAGGTTCACGCCAACATGGCCAACGCCAAGAAGGTGCCCCTTGAGTCTCTCGAGCTGGACCGCCGGGTCGTGGGGCGCGTCAAGCCCCGCGTCAAGCTGGCGGCGAAGATCGCGGATTCATCCATCGCCAAGGAGAAGATCTCCGCGGAGGACAACTGGCTCCGCAACGCGGCAGAAGACCTGGGCGTTGATTACGACAGTGAAGAGTTCGACGAGTCGGCGGGTCGCGGTCGCGGTCGCGGTCGGGGCCGTCAGGAACGGCAACGCAAGGCCGGAGAGACCAGCAAGGCCGAGATGGCCAGCATGAGGGCGGAGTTGAAACAGCTGCTGTCGCAGCGGGTGAACGTGGGTGTGAGTGAGCGGTATCTCACCTCGGGACGGGTGGACATCGAGGCGCTGCTGCGTGGCGAGGGCAACAGTTCGTTCTTGGGGCAGGTGGATGCGTTGGAGTTCTAATCAAGGGGCCGATGAAGAGGAGAGCAGCTCTACCTGATGCATGTATATACCTAGTAGACATTGTACAGTTCCGTTAACATGCATGCTCTGTCCCATGTTATTGCCTTGATATGGTAGCCTTCTTGGACGCTGGGTAGCGAGGTAACTTACAAATTGTGTAGAATGAATCCGCATGAAGGAGTCAACGCAACACATTACAGAAAGGTCTTTGACACACGAGCGCCAGATAGATGATGATCATTCCTTGTCTTTCGAGTACTCTGGGAAAAATCCCCACCTCCGCCCGGTTTGCCCTTGTGCAATCAGGTCCAACTCTGTGAGCTCAGAGCACTTGTCGCACCCAAAATTCTCATATTTTGAAGAGCAAAAGAACAATGCCTCCCAACATACCGCACATAATGCGTTCTAGCCTCAGTCACAGCCTTCTGCAGCACAAGAGATACCATGTCAACGACCAGTAACGAACGAACCTTTCTTAGACGTCCATGAAAACCCAACATCAGCAACCGCACTGGACCTCACCTATGAAACGAACTTCCCCTTGCCACTTGAAACAAGTCAACCAAGCCACATCACTCCCCCAGACCTGACACCCCTCCGACCACTTTCTGACTGGTCCCCGACGTTCAGATGGATGATAACAGGCGCTTGCTGCATATCAAGCTTGCTCGCCTCCTTGGCCGCCAGTTGCCACAGCCTGTGTTTATCAGGTGCGCAATCCCTGTTCATTACATGTCAGGTATACTGCGCAGTGACCTGTCCCATCCTCGGTGGCCGTGGGCACTTTCGCTGTAAGGGCCTTCTCCCTTTACCTTGCTGTTTTCAATTATCCGGCGGGTACATATCATCGCTTCGCGAGTTCGGCGTTGGCAGCGCAGAGCTTCTGCCGGAATATGCTGGGCGGTGCCTTCCCCTTGATTTCTCGGCAGATGGTCCAGAACGGTCCAGAACATGAGCCTTGGACCCGCAGCCACCGAGTGTGCTGGGTGTCGTTGGGGCTGCTTTGGACCTGGTACCATGAGCTATGGTCTGGTTTGGACCTCGAATCCGACGACAAAGCAGGCTGGCTAGGAAGATGATGGATTGACGGGCAGATAACAGGTCTGCAAAACGGGTCAGAAGACACGAGATCTATAGTGTGCGCATCGAAAAGTTGATAACAAGATGAATGAGGGTCTGAAGGAGCTATGGAGGGATTTGACTCTATATCAGATAGTAAGAGGTGAGTGGAACCGGCCTTACCACATGCCACCCCCGAATTGGACAACGTCATCTCTCCATCTTCATCATGAAGCCCAGCAAGTACGGCATGTGTGTAACCAGAGATTCATAGCATGATTCTCTTCATAAAGTGCTGCTAGCTCCGAGCCAAGCCTGGAGATAATTGTTTTCTAGATGCCATATAATTTGATGCATCGTCAAATGACCATAGGGTTCATTACACAGATATCCTCGAAAAAGCGCCATACACCATCAAGGTGTCTCCCTTTCTGGAACGCAAATAGGGTATTACGTATCCACACAGAGTCTACGGACAAACTCCATTCCACATACTCGTACTAAAGGCAGACTCCTCTGTAATATCGCATTCGACAAAAGCTATTAGCTGCCTCAATCCTGAGGTATGTTCTACATTGAAAATGGATGACCTCATCAACACACAACTATACCGCCCGACCTCGAAGCCGAGCCGAGAAGCGCCCCACCCGAAACTCTGGCGCGGAACACCCGCCCACGTAGGGTTTCAATTGGGCGGATTCCACCCGATGCGCCGGGTCCATGGATCCCACGTGGGCTTACCGAGATAGGAAGTATGATCCACTCCGTTGGGATGCGCCAGGCTTTTTCTTCATTTTTTTTTTCTTCTCGAGGCTGGATAGAATCACTTCAACCTCGAAGCTATAATCCTGCCAGAGATTACCAGGGCAGCTGTCTACACAGTAAGTACTCTGTCGCATACTCCAATGGCATCATCAGCACATCCCCAGATCAAACAACAGTTAACGCCCATACTACTGTACAGTACAATCACATCATCGCCATCGCAAATCGATAAGACCCTACCTAACTGACCACGCCAACCCAGAGTCACCGCAGTCATCACCAGGAGTCACCACCAGAATCCGAACTAGTCCCTATAAATCCAGCCTCGCAAGCAACATCCCACACAGACACACACACACACACACACATACACACAGATCCCCCGTATTGAATCCACAGCAGCAGCCTCAGCACAACACAAAATGTCGTCCCTCCCGCGCCTCAGACCCCTAACCCGGCTCCTCCTGCGCCCTCAACGCCCTCACAACCACCACCACCTCGACCCCCTACCAACTCTCCCAACCCCAACCATCATCACAAAACCTCAAACGCGCACCCTCCGCTCCGCAACCGCCACCTCCGCCACAGCAACAACAACCCCAACAACCCCCCGAACCATCCCCGGAAGCCAACCACCAACCCGCCCCCCCAACGAAGCCTACGAAATCACCCAAGCCGAAACGCAGCTCACCACGCACCCGCTCCTGCAGACCCTGCGGTGCGACAAAAGCTACACCGAGACCCGGCCGCACCTGTCCATGATCCCCGCGCACCGCGCCTCGCACTTCGTCGCGGGCACCCTCTCCGGCGCCCACAAAGTCACCGTCCCGCCGTACGTCTTCACGCGGACCAAACCAACCCAATCCCCACAGCGCGAACCACCCCACCATCCGGCGAAAGCACCGCAAGCACCGCAAGCAACGCTCGCGCAAACCATCTCCCTCTTCCACCTGGGCACGACCCTCAACGGCCACCCGGGGTACGTGCACGGCGGCCTGCTGAGCGTGATGTTCGACGAGACCTTCGCGCGCTGCGTGGCGGCCTCTTTCGCCAGCGGGGTGGGGATGACGGCCAACCTGAGCGTGGACTTCCGGAAGCCCGCCCGGCCGGACCGGGTGTATGTGCTGCGCGCCGAGACGGTGCGGGTCGAGGGCCGGAAGGCGTGGGTGGAGGGGTCGTTGACTTCGCTGCCTCCTGCGGGTAGTGCCTCCGAGGGAGAAGGGACGATGGTCGCGGAGGCGAGGGCGTTGTTTGTCGAGCCGAAGTTTGCCGAGGTAAGTCTTTCTCTTTCCTCTTTCTGAGAGTAGGGGGAATAGTGGCTGATCGGGTGGTTGAAATTTAGTCTATGGTGCCGTTGTATCGGAATTGATGGAGTCGAACATTGTGGTGGGCTGCAGTGGGAGAGTATAGTGAGGAGTTCAGTACGTGAGTACAGTGAGAAGTGCGTATAATACCCGGCGTTGTCTTTCATACTAGAATAAACATAGACCAACATAGACATAGACACACATAACATAGACACACTAAATATAGATCAATTTATTACAAAAACAACTTTTACACACTCATTTCACCATCGCCATATTTGCATTTCTATCTAAATTGAACCAATACGGAGAAGGTCCCGCCTGGAAACTCCTTTTCCCCTTCAAAATACACATGAGAATCAACTCACACCCAGAAATGCCCACCCGAAATTGAGAAACAGAAAAAAAAACACAAACACATGCAAATCATTTTCCGTCAACGAACCACTTTCCCCTGAGGTTCCCTCGACACTCTTCTACGACAGAAGGAATGCACCCTGGCCCTCTTTGATGGCAACAGACAATCGCTCGCGAAGGGTGTCCAAGCTGCTGTAGTCGGGAAGCTTCAGGTAGTTGACACAGGTCATGACACTAGGCAAGTAGTCGTCGGGGGTGTATGGCGGTTCGCTGGGCCGACAGACCACCGTGAAGATCGGAGTGAGACTCTTGAAGCCTAGATAACATACGTTAGCAAGTCATCATCCGTTCAGGGTGTTTTAAAGGTTCCTTACCGCCAATCGGCAGCTTGGGACTGCCGGTCACAAACTGTAAGAAGTCTCGTCGTTGTTGTGCATTCAGCTCGCTCATCGTCTGGAGCAAGTTTCGCACGCTCCGGCTGTCCATGTTGAAGCCATGGTCAGCTTTAATGGAGTCCATCAGGGCTAGAACCAAGGTTAGTAGGGTGCTCTGACACATTCTTAGGAAAACACCTACTCTCAATAGTCCAATCCTCCTCGGCGCGGCCGAACAGCATAACCAGTTCATTGGGAGTGAAGGTTCGCAGAGCCGAGTAAGGGAAAACCTGCGAAAAGCCCGCTCGGAAGGCTTCCACTTGACGCTGGACTCCACTGCCCAGGGTCATGTCCACCACTCGGTCCACGTACAGATCCACATTTTCGATCACCACTGGGATGTTCGAACCATTCTTAATCAACTCAATAGCTGGATATCCGGGTAGTGTGAAATCTAAGCTTAGATCTTCGACCTTAACCCCATTGATTTCGACGGCTTGGAGCGCCTGGGCTTTCTGGGTCACAGACAGCCCTTTGTCCTCTTCGATGGCCTTTTTCAAATTGGCGTAGCGCTTCAGCAACATCAGTGAATTGGCCAGGTCCTGGTCGACAGCCTTCACGGTCCCAAGCGACGGCGCAACGAAGGATGAGTTATCGGCAATGCGGAAGAAGGCAGGGTTGAACGAGATGTCGATGATTCGAGAGTCGAGCATCGACCGGGCAACAAATTTTCCGAGGATCTTATACAAGTGCAGTTGTTTCTTGCCGGCTTCCGATGCAGCCTGTGCCTCACTCATGGGCGCAGGGAACAGACCGCGCTTACCGAAAGCGTATTCTTCGCCATTGGCGCAATCGTTCTCCCTCCAGATCTTCAGCTTCTTCTTCGAGAACTCTTTCGAGACGGTGGAGTAGAATTCAAGAGTAGGGCCCAAACCGGTACCGACTTCCTCAAAGTATTCAACCTCCAGCACGCTCGGAGAAGACCCATAAAGCTCCATCACTTTAATGGCAGACTCCAAGATACGGCTTCTTGAGATCCTCACCTTCTGTCGCTGCAAGCGACCGAGGATAGGTCGGTCATCGCGCCGACTGTCGTTGCGGCTGTCATCACCGTTCTGAGAATTGTGCCACCTCATCATTGCGCGCGAATAGCCGAACGCAGTTGACTGGAGGAACAGGTGCCGCGTCTCGAACGGAAACAGGAATGGGAAGAGGCGGGCGAGGTCCTCGCTCCAGCTAGGGAGACAGCTACTCGCCACGATGAGAGGCTCTTCCAATTGTCGGTTGAGCTTGGCAGTCAGCTTAGTGTTGATGAATTGGGCCAATGGTTCGGGCTTCAGTGCGACCAGCTCTTTAGTCTCTGCAATGATGTCGTCGAGAGTGGCATTCATCTCGTGCAAGACACGCAGAAGCTGAAGGATCATCGCAGTCGTGGGGCCTTGACTGAGAGAAGCCGGCATCTCTTCACCCTCGGTCTTGGCAGAGCCGCCAGAGCCTCCCTGGGCGATGGAGGAGGGTTCTGGGGGAGGGGGGCCTGGGACACGCCGGAATTTGACTGTGTGAACTGCTGACCACACGTTTTTCACGCTTGGGTCGACATGCTGACGATTGTGATGCACTGCACGGTAGATGGTGGTATCGCTAGACACAGGGTGATCGTCAATGCTAAACTCAATGTGCCAGTCTGAAGGGATCGAGGCCATGGCAGCCGCATAAGAAGAGAACGGTCGACCTGCCGTTGCCAAGGAGCTACCAGATGAGGGGTTGGGGGCGGCGCTCGGTGCAGATGTCGTTGACTTGGAAGCTGGCGTCTGCGATGGTGTAGCTACACGGGTGCCATCTTCTTTGCGAGCAGTCACCTTGCCGGAAGATGCAACCTCCATGTTGACAGCAGTAGGGTCTTGAGCATTATCATCCGAAAGGTCTTCATCGAGATCATCCACAATGGCGTCTAGCTCCTCGTCGTCACCTTCATCATCATGATCGTCGTCATCGCTCAATTGCCGTTCGTCTGCGCATTCGAGCGGCTCATTGTCATGTTCACTTTCGGCGGCAGCTTGCTGACGTCTTGATCGCCTCAGTCCTGACTCAGACTCGTCACCACCGGCGACAGTCTCTGCGGGGTGGGTCGAGTTATTCGTCGTGCTCGACGTTCGTGGCAGCTGAGGGCTACCGCTGCTGAAGCGCTCTGCGTCGGCTATTTGCTCACGGAGGCGGGCTGCATTTGCATTTGCGAGTTGGGCAAGGATTGAATCGTGATTACGCGCTGGCCTTGGCCGATCAGACAGGCTGATTCTCGGATGCAAGAAATCATCCAGGGCCTTGAAAGTCGCGATGGCATGAATCGACACCATAATGTTGCGGTAGGTTCTGGGGATGTCGGAGTCCTCATCTGCCACAAGCTTCAATCGGAGTTGCTTCCCAAGCATGTAGGCGGCATTGCTACGTGTATTCTCCAGTGAATTGTGACTGACAGTAGTGACCTCAAAATGCTCAGTCCTGCTGAGCAAATCCTGCAATTTCTGAATGAGCACACTGAAGGGGGTAGTTGCAGTACTCTGGCTTTGGGCCCTTTCCGATATGGTCGACCCCATAAAGGCTTGTAAAAAGGCGGCACGAGCTTCGCGCATAGACGTAGCTAGATACAGTTAGCACAAATCAGCAGGTAAGGACGAGCCTCTTACATTGAAAATCTCCAAAGACCTTGAGAAGTACTGTGATGATGCCAGAATTCAGGAGCTCTGAGCTAGTAATGCTCTCCAGGGCATCACCGTCGAAGTAAGTTGCCAACTTCTTGAAGAGGAAAAGCCCCTCGTCAGTCTCATCGCCCGAGTAGCAGGCCTGGAGATCGGAAGCGAGAGTCTGCAATTCTTTTAGAGTCTCCAAGGCTTTGTCCCGCATGTCCTTGCCTTGACTAGCTTCGTATTGACTGACAAAGCCCTGAGCGTTGCGGATTACGAGGTCCTTCATGGCATTGGCAATCTTATTAGCAACGAGCTGACCTGAAGCTGACGACGAGCTTTCGGAAATGTCATCATTATCTTCGTCCTCCGGTTCATCATAGTCATCTTCTGCGTCATCGTCGTCGTGCCCATCCTCGTCGTCTGAGCCTAAAACAGAGCTATCCTTGGCGGGGGGTTCCGCAGCGGGTTTCTCTTCCTTGGCGGTGTCCTTCGTGGTGGTATCGCCGGTCTGCTTTTCCAGCTTGTTGGTAGACAATGGCTGCTGAGCAAGCTTGAAGATCTCGGAAATGACCCCTTCGCGGTGGAATTGATGCCGATAGACATGTTCCAGGCGCGAGAACAGGAGTTCTGCGCAACGAATAGCGTGAGACACCAGCGTGGGGTGATCGTTCTGGGACAGGATCGCTGCCAGGAAAGATGCGTAAGGAACCGATTTCAGAGCATCTTCAATCAAGCCGACGTCCAAATTGTGAAGCATCTTGAGTTGAGCGGTGAGAACCTTTTGGCGAACTTCCAGATTGACAGTGCTGGAGTAAGCATCGGTAAGAGTCGGCAACAGTATCATGGCAAACCGCTTGAGTTCCGTTTTACATTCCAGCAGCAATTCGCGCCGTCTCTCGGCCGACTCTTGCGCCTTGGGATGCTTGGAAATGCCACTGGGCCCGATCAAACCTTCGAGTTGTGGGACATGCCGGCTCGGGACGCTAGGCAATAGCTCACAAATGACATCAAGAGTTTCAAAGACCTGCTCCTTGGGACGGTGGATCAATGCTTGCATGACCAATACACTGTCCATCTTCACAGCCGTATCGTCCAAGTTGGCCGGAGGCGACACACCCGTCAGGATCTGGTATAAAGTGTCGACCACGTCCATTTTGAGCAGCTCCACGGACAATTTAGGGCTGGCTCTCGAGGTAATCGCGAGTACACGCAAGAATTGAGTGTGAATATGCGACCCGATGAGGTTGGTGGTTCCGGGCAAAAGCAATCGAAGCACAGCTTTCAGCATGGCGGGTTCAATCAGCTCCTCCAACTTTTCCGGCTTGTGTTTATAGCTTTCAACGATCCGCGAAACGCAAAGGCACGCCTGTTCAACCACCTTGGGATCATTGCTGGAGAGCACGTTGAGCAGGGTCGGCATCACATCACGAACAACTGGAAATGAGTCGTGAGGTAGATTGCGGCAGCAGTTGGCAGCAGTTGTCACGGCCGTGCGCTGCGTGCTGGTAGGAAAGAAATCGAGGTAAGTCAGACAGGCTGTCAAACCACCTTCCCGCACGATCGAGGCAGGAAAGTCGACCGAAATCTTCGCTAGAGTCTACGGCATAGCGAGTTAGCGTGCATGTGTGAATAATGTGCAGAGCATAACTTACGCTGAGAGCTTGCTCGGCCAGGTCAATGAACTGGATGTCCAGTAGTTTCTGGCACAAAACTGGGACAGCTCCGCCATATACAACATTGGCCACCGAGCCACGAAGGGCTTCCATCAGATTGGCCAAGCAGCGACACGCGAGGAGCATGATC